TGTCATTAGGTGCTTACCGCAGCGCCATGGCTGAAGAGATGACAAACACGGCGCTCGAGGAATAAACTCCTGAACGGGCAGTTCGCATAGAGCAGATTTGGACGCGAGCGGCCGAGCAGAACGCTAGCCATGCCGATCGACATCAAAATCGGATCTCTGAAGATGTTGAAGATGCATTGTTGCGCAAGCGTCTGGAAGAGTTGACCGAAGCCCCCAAAACCATACCTGTGCAAACGTCGGCGCGGCGAGCCCAGCTAAGCAAGCGCATCCGGAGAGCTGTCAGAGCGACGAGAAGGGCCGAAGCCAGCCGACGCATCAGCACCACCATGGAGAAGTTCGCGGGCGCGAAGCACATGCAGAAAATAACATCTCAGGTTGCGCGTCGCACGGCACCACGCATGGCGGACGGAGACAGCATCGTCGCGTCTCGAGTTGGCATGGCCAACGCATTTGCGCATTTCCATACAGATCTTTATGGCTCAAAGGTTGTTGTGGAACCAGACTCGCTTTTTGCAGGCGTGGGGCGCGCTGGCTCTGTGCCGGACTGCTCAGCGGGCGAAGTCAAAACAGCGCTGAAGCAGCTAAAGAGGAAACGTTGCGCGGATAGCCGAGACATCGTCGGGGAGATGCTTGCGGAAGGCGTGGGGAGATCATTGAAGGTGTTGACGCGCTTGCGCAATGACTTGCTCAAGACAGATGCGCTGCCGCCAACTACGTGGAAGCTGGCTGTGTTTAAGGTCGTACATAAGTATTGCGACGATCGTTTGGCCGGAAATTATCGGCCGAGTATAATCATCCCAATTCTATATAAATCGTTCTCCTGGCGTCTCTACAATCGCTTGTCTCCTGCGTTGGATGCAAACCAAAGCTGCGACCGAGCAGGTTTCAGGACCGCGCATCTACATTTGAATGTATTCAAGAATCTTGTAAGGAGCACAGAATTCCATTATGGTGTGCCGCCCTTGATTATCAGAAAGCTTTATACTGTTGAACACCGGGCATTCTGGAACGCGCTAGCCAGGCAGGGCGTGCCGATCACTTACGCGAGGTTGTTTCTGATGCTGCATTCCGGCCAACAGGGTCAGGTAAGAACAGATGCGCCAAGCAGGTGGTTCAGTATTTCGCGAGGAGCGAAGCAGGGCGACCCCCTCAGCTCGCTAAATTCCAATGCTCTGTCTGCGAGGACATCATGGGGCAAGTGAAAACGACATGGGCAAATCGGCAATGTGGGCTCCAGCTTGGGTGCACGGACTTCCCCCTGCTCACGCATCTTCGATTTGCGCACAAGACGGAGATCTTCGCGAAGGCGACGCGGAAGCGGAAGAGGCAGGCGCACGCACTTCTACATCAATGGCGATTTGTTTTAGATTTTATATGTGCTGACGCCGGTGAAGTACTTGGATTTGACGGTGCAGACGTCGCAGAACAGACCACAGGATTCGTTATGGATGGAGGGCGTTCATGATGAACAAAGCAGAAATGACCAACCAGCGCTACTCACTGAAATCTCGTTTGCGCTTGTTCGAAGCCGTCGTAACCCCCTCCGTGTTGCATGGGGCTTCAAGTTGGACTTTGACGTCCGAGCCCAATCAGAAACTGCAGACCACTAAACGGTGCATGCAACGTATGCGTTTTTTGGTTCTGGGCGTCGCCGCGCGCGCGCGCGGAAGCCGGAGCGAGGATCGGGCCCCGAAGCGGAAGGAGACAGCACCGCAGAGGACGACGATCTTCATGAATGTTCATCTTCTGATTCCGATCAAGAGCCCTGGGTCGATTGGATCAAGCGGGCCACTCACCGCGTCGACGATCACATGGACAAGCTGCACATCGAGAGTTGGGGGGGCACCCTGCGACGCAGAATCTGGAAGTGCGCGGCAGGAGTGGCCACTATGCCTACGGACATGTGTGCAGCGAAGGCAGCCGTTTGACAGCCTCAGAACGACCTCCGCGCCAACGGCAGAATGCCCGGAAGGTTTTGGAAACGATGGGGGGGGGGGGCAAACTCGCCAGCTTCCTGCGGGCTGACGGGCATGATGTGCAAGATGGGAACTGGATTGTTTACTCTGGCAATTTCCCGCTCTGGAACTCTCTCGAAGACAAGTTCGCGAACCAGAACATCGGAGGCACTGCGGTGTCAACCGCGCTCGCCCCGCGTTGGGCCGGGCTCTGCCCGCTTATGGGCGTCACTCGCTCACTCGCTCGGATGGCGCGGCATTTTAAGCCCGCCGAGGGCGTCGGCAGCCAGCCGATCACCAAGTGCAGGTGGCGCGCGCACGGCCGCCAGGATCCCGACAGCGAGAGCCTTCAGGTCTGCGCGCCCACGCCGCAGTCAGAGACCATAGTGCTGGCGTTACAGGTGATCGCCTCCATTGGCTGGAAGCTGGGCATAGCGGGCGCCAAGAACGCGCTCTGTCAAAGCAATCGGTTGGCGCGCCCCGGGGGCGCCATCTACGTCGAGGTTTGGTCAGGACCAGGTCTTCCAGCAGAGGTGCTAATCGAGCTGGTGGCCCCAATGTGCGGACTGAACGACGCCCGGCTTCTTTGGCGCGGGGCCCTTGCTGGGCACCCGGTGGAGACGGGCGTCGCGAAGTCTTTACTGGTGTCATGCATGTGGCTCCCCCTCTGGCGCCCAGCAGGGAATCGTGTTTATCGAGGTTGGCGATTTAATCATGTCGGGAGATGCTAAGGTGCTGCCCGACCTAAAGTCTCTTCTTCGGGAGATGAAGTTTGGCGAGTGTGGGGGGGGGGCGAGGCAGGCTGCGCCAGCCGCTGCAACCGGCAACGCGGCTCGAAGATAACCGTCGACCAGGAAAAGCACGCGAGAGAACAGCCCCCCCCGTGGCTTTGTCCAAGGAGGGGAAGTCTCAAGCGGAAGCCGCCCCTACTCCGTCCGAGATATCCTCACTTAGGACCACGGTTGCGCTGATTCAGTGGTTTGGGCGGGAGCCCGGGCCCGACGTCGCAGGGGGCGCGCCCTTGCTCGCGGCCGCCCTGCCTGAGCCCGTCGTCGCTGACGCTCTCATGGCTAACAAAATCGCGATGTCCCCCCGTGCCTCGGCGTCTCAGCGCATCGCCATGTGTAGCTTCGACCCAGTCAGAGCGATATGTCTCGCGGTTTCCGATGCGGGGGGCCCGGGCTTTGCCCGCAGAGGCGGCGCGCAGGCTGGGCGGCTCGCCTCTCGGCGCAGACAGCTCGGTGAGAGACATCCGGCGGGCCAAGGTTAGCCTTCTTTTCTGGCGGCCCCAGAGGCTCGAGCGCGCGGCGGCCAGCGCCACGACGGCTGAGGCGCTGTCGCTTCCGGGGGCTCTGGCGGAGACCCAGTGGTTACAGGTGTTGTGGCGAGATATTGTTTTCGGAGATGTAGCGAGTCCGGAATGGATGCTGTCGCAGGGTCTTGGGTGCCAAGGCCGACTGGCGAAATGCTATCGAGATGGCTGTGGCGTGCGATTCCTCGTGCAAAGTCGGTTCGCAACTAAGGCGGTTGCCGCGTAGACTCGTGCAGGCGAATTCGCTGACCAACATAGACCCTTGTCGCGGTAACGCAGCGTTGCGTGATGTTTTCACTCGGGGCTCTTTGCGCCTAGTGGACGAGCATGGGCACTGTAGCGAACGGTCGCTGAATCAGGCCACGAAGTCGAGGCGTCGTGGAGCTTTGCTCCGGGCCCAGGCAGCCCGTGCTCAGGGAGAGCCTCATGAGACCACTCAGGAAAAGGACGAGGGTGAAGCCACGAGGAGGAGAGCGAGGTTTCAAGACGTAGCAGGAAAGATCCATCAGGAGGAGCAGGAGGAGGAGGAGGAGGACCTTCAGGAGAGCAGGGCGAGCGAGGAGGCGATGAGAGGGGGGGTCAGGGCTGGCGGAGCCCAGCCTGTCTCGGTGTCGGGCCAAGCGGCATTCGATCCAAGAGAGTTTGCGGCGCCGTTCTCCCGAGGCCCTAGTGGGCCCTCTTGTCCGCGTGTGTCCCCGCTCCCGTTGAATCTCTTCTGTGGCTATTGGGCTTGTCGCGTATTTCAGGATTTGCGCGGAGCTCCGCGCAGGAAAGACGCCCCCATTTCGCCCCGCCTTCTTTGGACCCTCCAGCGCCTAATGTCCTGCAGTCTGCGACGCTTCGGCCCAGTGTCGAAACGCCAAGTAATAATAAAAGAACAGAAAAAAACGTTCACCATATCGATGGGCCTCAGGACGCGTGTTCGCCCAACATGTGTTTGGCCCTATCAACGCCCTGGATAGCGCGCAGCCTGCGTCGGCCCTCATCAAGGGCTTCGGTGGAAACAAACACGTTAGCGGCAACATACGTCCTGAGGATCACCGAACATCATGGGAGCCTTGGATGTCCTCTGGAGTTCGTCTCTAGAGTGCAGGAGCGTGCGCTTGCATCTTGTGACCACTTGGAACTGCGTACAGCTCGAGTAAAACCGCGTCCAGCTCGAATAGAATCCTGCTAGAGCTGCGTCCAGCTTTAATGACATCCGATTAGAGCTGCGCCCAGCTCTAAGCTAGTCCGACTAGGGCTGCGTCCATCTCGAATAGAATATCATTAGAGCCGCGTCCAGATCTAATAGAATCCAATCAGAGCCGCGTGCAGCTCTGGAAGCATTCTACTGCAACTACGTGCAGCTCGAATAGAAACCTACTACAGTTGCGTGGAGCTGACATATAATCATACTACAGCTGCGCGGCTGTAATAGAATGTTATGAGGGTTGCGTTCAGCCCTACTGGAATATGAGTACACCTGTGTGCTGATGTAATAGAATGTTGCCAGAACTGCGTGTAGCTCTAATCGAGTCTTTCTGAAAAACGTGCAGTTTTGATAGGTTCCTATCAGACCTGCGTGCAGCTCTAATAGGATCCTACTGGGGCTGCGTCAGGCTCTGATATTATCCTGTTAGAACTGCGTGCAGCTCCAATAGAAACCTACTAGACCGGCCTGCATCTCTCATTGAATAGTTTTAAAGTTGCGTACATATCGAATAGACACCCATTACTTTTGCCCACAGAAGGCGGCCATGCAGCAGAGCTGGAAGGCGTTCCGTTTCGCGACCGAGGAGCTGCGTTCAGACGGTGCGGTTGCGCTTGAGGCTTTGAAGGAGTCTTGGTGGACCGCGGACTTGCTGACCGATGTCCTGAAGGGAGATCGCGACTTCTGGTTGTCGCAGGGCGCCAGCTGCATACAGTCAGCACGGATAGTAAGGATGAGGAGCTTTCCAATCTTACCCTTGCATCCTTCCTTTTCGGCCCATCCCTGGCCTTTTTCGCTGGCCGAATGGCTTTCCACGGCCTTTGCATCCTGATCCCCAGTAGCGAATCATGGGAGCGCGGTGTACTATCTTAATTATGTGTCTAGCGTCGATTAGCGTATATAGATTCGCGTCTGGGAGTTAATGAGGCAGCGCCCGACCTGGCGACGGCCAGCGTCGAATACCGTCGATGCTAGCGTCGATGCTAGCGTCGCTTAGCGTCGATCCAATGTCGATAAGGGTCGACTCGCAAGAGCCGACAAGATGGTATGGTATTGCAGCCATGATTTGCCACCGCGCATCCTTATCTTACGCGCTGACTTCATCACTCCTGCACCGAACCCGGCCAGGCCACCAGGCGCCGATCCCGGGCACGGGACTTGCATTTTTCCATGATCGGCGGCCATTCCTTTGGGGGAGGCGCTGTTTCCCAGGCTCGAAGCGGCACATTCCCCTGTTTTTCGGGGGCGGCCAAAAGAGGGGGGGTGCTGCTTAGGGGGGGTGAATCTCATGGCGGGGGCCATGATACTTTCCCAGATTATTTCAATGCGTCCATGGCCCCCCCCCGGGGCCGCGCACGTGCCGCCGGCCATGAGTCGCGCCCCCCCTCTGTTGGACGCCCCCCGCTTGGCCGCCCCCGAGTTTTGGCCGCGAGCCTTCTTTGGGCTCCCCCTCCCTTTCCCCCAGAGGAGGTTCTCGCCGAAAGGCGGTTCGCTGCCGGGGGGGCCCCTGCCTGGCCTCGTCGGGACGGTGCGATACGGCGGGCATCCTCCCACTGCAGGCTGAGGGTCATCAGGTCCGACCGCAGCAAGGGGTGGCTGGCCTTCACTTACGCGGCGGACGCGTGCCGGGGGGACCCAGAGCTGGTGCTGGAGGCTGGGCTGCCGCTTGCTGTGCCCTTGCTCACATGAAACGCACATACTCATGTCAGCATCGGTGCGCGTGTATCGCAAGTCCCCCCATGGCGGATCCAGGCCAGTTGCGAGTAGTTGCTGTGCGAATAGTGGAACGCGCTTGTCTATCTGCGCCGATCCTGGCCACGCCCATCCTCGCATGCGTTTTTTTATCCCCAATCCCCGAGTTCCGCCCGTTCAGTCTGGCCGCTCAGAAAAAGGGAGAAGCCCTGGGCCATTGGGATACAACCCAAAGCGGCTACTCGGACTCACCACTATCGAGGATGGACGTCCCCCCATCGTTTATCCCATGGTTGGGCCCACAATTTTTGGTCCATTCGGAAATGCCACGAAGCCTTGGATGGGGGTCGACATTTCCCGCGTTACATCCTCAGACGGGGGAAACGGTTGACGTATGTTCCAGGGCCCGAGCCGCCCCCCAATGCGACTGGGATCGGGTTCCCCCACACCCGATGGGTCCTCCCCCCAGCCTCCCCTTTGGGTGGTGCTGCTGTGGAATCCTCCTCGTCGTCGTCCTCGTCGCATCCTTGTGCGTGTGGCATGGTGTTGCAGTGCTTCAGGGAGCGGGAGGTCGTCGTCGTCGTCGTCGTCGTCCCCCCAATCCGATCGGGGGGGGGGCCCGCCCGCCCGGCCTTGGTCTGTTTGTACTCTGAACCCCCGCTAGGGTTTCCGCAATGTTACCCGCGCGGGATTCACATGTGGCTGCCCAGAGGCGATCCAGCAGGACCCTCTGTCGTTCAAGTACGCCTCGGAGGATCCTCGTCGTCGTCGTTCCCCACATCCTGAGTGGGGTTATGACGTTTCTTTCTCTTCCAGTCCCCCCTTCCGGGGGAACTTCTTTCCACACTTCGCCTCATTCTTGTCTCCTACTCGCATACGCATTCCAGAGGAGCGGTGCGATCGGGTCGACCGAAGCATAGGGGCGACCGAAGCGCGAATTGGCCGGCGTGCAGGGAGGGGAGGGACGAGAGACAGGGCGGCCGCGGAGGAGGCGGATGGGGCCATGCACAGACTCTTACGTCGGCAGCTAGGCAGAGTAACTGCGCTGGCGGAGGGGGCCATGCACAGACGCATCCAGGGGGCACTTCCAGGGCGTGGCAAGGGTGGCCCTGCCTCGCCGCCAGAGGCTGCGGTCTCTGTCCGCTGCGCCGTCCAGGGCGCGGCAGGGGAGGCACATCCTCGCCACCAGAGGGGGTTGCGCAGGGGTGCAGCCCCTGTTCGACTTGCCGCCGAGGGCGTGTCAGGCGATCGCAAACATGGGTCAAGGGGGCGTGGATTAACGACGTGTCCCGTTTCCATGGGAAATCGCGGATTTCCGCCGCCGAACGAGGCGGCACCGGCCGCATTTTGGGGAGGGCATCTCCCCCGATCCATCGATTTGGCGACCGCGCGCCAAATCTATGGATCGTTGATCCATGTTTGCGCGCCCCCGAGCGTGGCAGGGGTGGCACCGCCTCGCCACCGGAAGGGATGCGCAGTGGATGCGTCGGGGCTCCAGAGGCGGGGGTCAGTGCAGACGGGGGTCAGTCAGAGCGCCGGATCTTGCAGGATCCTGCGGGGCCAGGGGTGCACTGACCCGGGTTGGGCGCAGGATCCTGCAGGATCCTGCAAGGCTTAAGTCGGGCACGTCCCCTTACAGGAGGAATATTCAAAAATAGTAACAAAAACACACCTGAGAAAGCCCAAATCAGTGGATTATTTGAGAATTGATACTATGGATATTGAGATCGATTGTGAGATCGATGATGAGATCAATAGTGGAATCGATAGTGAGGACGATTGTAAGGTCGATCGTGAGACCGAGATTGAGATCGATTCCATGCGATCGATAGTGAGATCGATCGCGAGATCGCTCATTCGATCTTTAGTGAGATCGCTTGTGAGATTGATAGTGAGATCGATGGTGAGAACGATCGTGAAGTCAGTAATGAGATCGATGGTGAGACCGATCGATCAGAGAATTGACCAGGAACCTGGGGACCCGGGAACCTCGCCGCTTTCCGAAATCGGCCCGGAACCAGGAACCCGGGAATCCAGCTTGCCACCAAAATCGGCGGGGAATTTTCGCCAAATCTTTCAACATCCGCTAGGAACCCTTCAGTGCAAGCACTGATTGTGGAAAATTTGTGAAAAAAGTGCAAGGAGACGATGTGTCTACCATGTTTGACCTTTTTTGATTATTTCATGTTTGTTGTTCTTCCATTCTTGCCATTTCATGTTCTACAGTTTTTTCATATTGTTGATGATTGGAGAGGCCTGACGGCCGGTGCCGCCGACCCTGATCGAAAGGGCTAGGAGTGGGGGGAGGAAGCGGAGGAGGAGGAGGAGGAGGAGGAGGAGGAGGAGGAGGAGGAGGAGGAGGAGGAGGAGGAGGAGGAGGAGGAGGAGGAGGAGGAGGAGGGAGGAGGAGGAGGAGGGAGGAGGAGGAGGAGGAGGAAGTGCATCCCTTGTGTGCCCGCTCGAAGAAAGTGCGCCCCGGGAGTGTGATATTCTGACTTGGGACGTGCTCCCGGAAAAGGAAGAAGTGCATCTCGAGCGTGCCCGCTCGAGGAAAATGCGCCCTAGGGGGGTGGTATTTTGACTCGGGGCCCGCTCCCGGGACGCGTCTGCGAGGAGGAGGAGGAGGGAGGAGGAGGAGAGGAGGAGGAAAAGGAGGAGGAGGAGACCAGGAGGAGGAGGAAGTGCATCCCGTGCGTGCCCGCTCGAGGAAAGGTGCGCCCCGGCGGGCGTCGTATCTGCCCCGGGCCCCCCCCCCCCTCCCCTCCCCCTCCCCCCCCCTGCGGGGAAGGGATCAAAGGGAAGGGGCTTCCCTTCGACTCCATTACGACGTCGTTTAATTTCGCTTTGGATAGCGCGCTTGAGGAGGAGAGCCCTGGGAGGGGGAGAACGGAGACGACGGAGACGACGAGTCCAACGGAGAAGCCCCTCACACACGCCGACAGGGTCGGCGGATTTCGCCTACAATTTTTTTGATTTTTCGCCCACAATCCGCCTGTAGGAGGACATGCCCGACCCGAGGCAACTCCTCACCACCCGAGGGGGTGGTGCAAGCAGTGCGGACGCGGCCCGCTTCGCCGTCCCGGGCGTGGCAGGGGTGGTACTTCCTCGCCGCCCAAAGGGGGTGCGGTCTCCGGATGCGCCTCACGCGCCCAGGGCTTGGCAGGGGTGGCACGCGGCACGTTGTCTCGTGTTCTGGAGGCGTGCTGGCAAGATGCCAGTGCGCAAGAAATGGGCACGAACTGAGTCTGTGAGGTCCTTCGGTAGCTCAGTTCATCCGGATGTATCCTCGTGTCCTGGGCCTCTGGGAGGTTTATCGTCGCCTCGGCCAGATTCCCCTCGAGAGTCTGGCCAAAACGCACCGCAGAAGCTGTCTGTTCGGGGGGTGCTTTTGGATCGTCTTCGTCGTCGTCGCCGCCGTCGCCGTCGTCGTCGCCGTTGTCGTCGTCGAAGCCGTTGTGATCCGTAAGGAGTTGGCTCGAGGGGAGCGTTCTCCTGAGAAGGCTGGGGGTTCTCTACGAAGGGGCGGCCTTCTGAGGAAGCCGCCCCTGCATCTAGAAAGCAATTTTCCCCAATCAGTGCTTGCATTGAAGGGGTCCTAGTGGCAATTGAATGATTTGGCGACAGTTTCCCGCCGAGTTTGGTGGCCAGCTGGGCTCCTGGGTTCCCGGTTCCCGGGGCCCTGGTCATTGCATGGTTCCGATTCGATTTCGGTGGGTTCCGGGTTCCCGGGTTCCCGGATTCACAGTCGATCTCCTTATCGATCTCTTCATCGATCCCATTTCAAACCATCCCGTGATTGGGTCTTTTCTTTGGTGTGTAATTGGAAGCCTCTGGGCCCTAAACGGCCCATGCTTTCCAAGCAGCCCACGTCCTGGAGGGCCACCCCCATCGCTGCGGGCCGCCGAGAGAAAGAAAGAGAGAAATAGAGATCCAGACCTCTGACGTCGTGTGTCTTCGGTGTCAGGGCCAGGGGCCACCAACAGAGCGATCCAGGATCGGTTGTTGCTCGAAGTGCTCCTGACCCACGGTGCCCCCAGGGTTCCCAGGGAGGCCCCAACGGCATCCAGTGCACCCCTCTCGAGGCCCATGGGCCCCCAGGGGCTCCAAAATGGAGCGACAAGCTGGGGGCACCCTGGGCCAGGGGCACCCCTAGCAACCCCCGACAGGATGAAAGCCAGGTCACCGAGAGGGGTCGAGAGGCCCGCCATTAGGGCAGAGGGTTTCTCAGGAAAACGGGTTCTGGAGGTTTCGGGCTAGTTTCAGGTTCCCGCGGCCTTACGCTAGCCCAAGGGCTGTCAAAAGATTCCTCACTTCGTAGTGAAAGGGAGGGGGCCACAATCCTCCCAAACGGACAGCTCATAGACCCCTCAGAACAGCCATGAAAAGGCGGCCTTTTGCCCAAACTCCCTAGAACCCTCCAAGACAGCTCAAACCAGATCCCCTCCCAGATCAGGCACCACCTTCCTTTATATACTGCGAAGTCCAGAGCACTCAGGATGAAAAGCTGGCTGGGCGTCGCGCCATGGAGGGGCGATCATGGGGGGTAGCGAGGGTTGCAGAAAAGGGGCCCCTTGGGGCTCCTAAAGGGGCCCTTTGAGGCCCAAAAGAGGGGGCCCATAGGACCCGGGAGGTGCGCCTCTCTTCCCCCCCCCGCATGCTGCGCCCCCCCCTGGCAAGCGAGACCCCAAGCTGGCCGTGGCGAAGGCCCCGAGAGCCTAGTGGTCCAGGCCCAGACCTCCCTTGGGGCGCCGAGGAGTGGCGGGGCCGCGGAGGCGTGTGGGCATGGGGGCCGGCCTCCTGGGGAGGGGCCGGCAGCACCCGGCTCTGACGGCCAACGCGCCGCGTGATCAGGAGAGGAAGAAACACACACACAGACACAATGAATCGTCGATTCCCAGTGGGGCAGTGGGGGGAAGACAGAAACCAGGAACATATGGGACAATATGGGGAGTCCTGGGATTTGTGTGTATTTAGTTGTGTGTCCCTGGGCCCCTTGAAGTACGGACGCGCGCCTTCATCTAGGGTACCCTCGTGTCCTTGCCTCTGCGGCCCGTCCTTTGCCGTCTTCATTGGGCGCCCGCCGCCCCAAAAGTCCCAACTTCGGCCTCCCGAGGGTCTTGCGTCCTTACCACCCGTTCTTGATAATCGTTCTGCCTGTACATGCCCGAATTGGGGGCCGGATGTGCGTCAGGGCACGAGCGAAACGGTGTTTTGGGGATTTCGTGGACCATTCTCGTTCTGATTCCGTTTCGCAGCAGAGGCAGGACGAGGACAGAAGGTGAAGGAAAGCGAAAGCAGAGCGGCGACGAACACACACTGTCTACTTCGAGCCCTGGTGTGCGTGCATGTTGGCTCCATGCCAGCCTAGGCGGCGAACTCATAGCCTTGAGTAGGGCATGCCACTACAGGAGGAATATTCAAAAATAGTTAAGAAGTAGTCAGGGGACTATTTGTAGAGTATTTTCCATTGTCTTTGAGTATTGAATGACTTCTTTTCCCTCGGAAATTCGCCTGGAGGAGGACATGCCCGACCTAATCGTGGCCACCAAGGTGTTGGCCTTTGGAGACTCAGTCTGAAGGCTGAGCCGCACACTTTCGGTGGTCCGCTCAGATGTACAGGGGCGCCCAGCGGGGACCCTAGCACGTGCCGACGAAGGCGTGCGGGTGGGCTCCAGCGCCGACCCAAGAACTCCACGCGCACCTCCGGAAGTTTATGGCTTATCATCGAGCGCGTTCCACCACTCACAAAGTGCCTGCTCGCAAACGTCAGAAACAAAAACACACATGATTGCTTTGATGTAATGTCTCGTAGATCCCCCGCGGGGGATCCAGGCCATTTGCAAGTAGCTACATTGCGAGTAGTGGAACGAGCTCGTCTAGCCTATGGTTTCATACCAAGCAGTGGGCTCAATAGGGGCATGGCGGACTCAGATCCTTGTCGGACTCAGTTAATCGTTATTGTTACCAACACCTAGCGGGACAGTGCAGGTCAGCTCTCCCAACGTACCCCCACCAGGTCGGGATGGACCTTCCGAAACCCGACGGAGACGGCCGTTGGGGGGGCATGTGGAAACCCGAGGGAGACGGCTATTTGGGGGCATGTATGCCAGCGGGGCCAAGGTTTCCCCCGCCCCCGCACATCCGACGGTGTATTTGTTTCACAACGTGGTTCCCCCGAAGCCTGGATCTCTTTCCAGGGACCATCTTTCCATTCTGAGCTTTTCTGTCTAACGGTGCTGGGGCCTTGTAGGGGACCCTCGGAGGCCGAACATTGCCGAAAACGTTCCGTCGTGTTTTGTTAGGACGCGAGGATGTCACGGGGGACGAGGAGTGTCCAGGCCTCTCAAATGAGGTAGACGGTCTGGGAGGATCGCGCCGTATCGCCGATGCATCAGCGATGCGATGCGACGCTGAGCCTGATTCTTGTCACGCCAACGGCGGCGATGCATATCCGACGTCGTCGTTGTATCGGCGATGCATCGGCGATGCGGCGCGATCTCCCCACCCGATCTACTCGGATCCCATTTGAGCGGCCGAAGACAACGGGCCGACTGCGCCGACATCCGCGCGCAAGCTGCCAGCGCAACGCCGCTGCGTACGTCGCCGTGTCTTCTCGCGCGAGGCCTGGCTCGTGTCGTCGCTCTCCTGGATGCTTCCAGATTGTGGGCGGCTTACAGTCAGCCCGCATAGTAAGGATGGGCATCTTTCCCAGGCTATCCTTGCATCCCTGCCCCCTCGGCCGCCTCGGCCCATCCTCAGCGAGCTTCGCTGGCCAATCTCGTTCGAAAAACGTTAGCATGGCCTGCCACGGCCCTTTGCACCCTTACCGCGCATCCTTAGGAGGAGGAGGAGGAGGAGGAGGAGGAGGAGGAGGAGGAGGAGGAGGAGGCGGAGGAGGAGGAGGAGGAGGAGGAGGAGGGGTGGAGGAGGGAGGGGAGGAGGAGGAGAGGAGGAGGAGGGAGGAGGAGGGGAGGAGGGAGGAGGGAGGAGGGAGGAGGGAGGAGGAGGAGGAGGAGGAGGAGGAGGAGGAGGAGGAGGAGTTGATTATCCGGCCTGACTGCAGCTGCCAAGACAATCCGAGGATCTGCGCAACGACCCGACGTTCGTGCTCGAGGCCGTGCGGCAGAACTGGGCCGCGCTGGGCAGCGCGGGGCCCGGCCCCCGGGCTGACCGCGGGGTGGTCTTGGAGGCGGCCGCACAGAGTCTGCAGGCGCTGGACTTCGCCGCGGACAGCGTGCGCCAGGACGGTCCAGAGGAGGATCAGTTTTTCCCATAGTTGTCGTTTTCTGAATTCTTTGTTTTGCCGATCGGCGTGGGCCCTCGCATCCCCCCCCCCCTCCCCCCCCCCCCCCCCGTGTAGTAGATCTTAGCGGTTTTTGGCGCCCGTTTCGAGCAGGTGCAGTCCCTCCCCCGTGGGACGCACCGCTGCAAACAGTCTCATTAAGCAGAGGTCAAGAGCCAGACCCCCCCCTCCCCCCCTTCTGCCCAATACCGAAACGCCGAATCAAAAATCGCTCACATACCGCTTCCTGCGGCTCGTTCTCGCCTCGTTGGGGGCCTCCTGGGAGGCCCTCGTCGCCACCGCTGGATCCGCCCCGAGATCCTGGTCGGAGCGCACCCCGGGGAGAGGTGCGAGGAGCAGCGGTGTCCGGCACCTTTGGGTTTGGTCCCCGGGCGAGGGGGAGCCCAGGCTTCCGAGGAGTGGGGCCAGAGGAGGTGCGGTCGTCAGGAGGCCTGGCTTGTGTCCAGAGCGGCTCGTGCCATGATCGGGTTGGAGATGCTCGTGCATGATCGGGTTGGATGTTGTGGCATCTGTCTGGGACTGGAATCATACATCACCACCGCCTGGGGGATCTATTTTCGGGGACCTCGGCAGGCGGTGGATATGGAGGTGGATGTATGTATATATTTATATATATATGTATGGATACATGGATGTGTGTATGTATATATATATACACACGTATCCATCTATCCATATACCCATATATGCATATACATTTCCATACAGATTCGAGCCCCTGGGGGCCAACATATAAACATATATCCATATCCACCGCCCGCTGGGGCACCAGGACGTCGGTTCCCAGCGGTGGATGTGGATAAATCCCCGCCTCGCAAGCTCTCACCCTCTCATCTCTTCTCCTGCTCTCTCCGCACCCCCTGTCTCTCTCCCCAGGGCGCAGGCACCCTGTTTCTGCAGGGTCGGAGTATGCCTCGGACTCGAGTCGCCCCTCTGCGCTGAGCACGCAGGAGAAACGAACGTAAGCGATCGCCCTCTCCACCTGCACCCTGGCCCGAATAAATGCGGTCGTCAGGAGGCTGTGCTTGTGTCCAAAACGGCTCGTGCTATGAACGGGTTGGAGATGCATGGCATTTTGTCGTGAGTTTGCTTTTGCTGGACCGCGCTTGTTGGTTTTTGGGTCGAAGATGGAGGTGGGGTCGTCCAAGACAGCAGTAGGGAAGAAAATGTGTCGTAAAAGGGCGGGGGTCGTTCTTGTAGGGTTTTTCCAGCGGCCGAAAACCCTACCAGAAAGCGGTTGCGCCGCGTGGCCCCGCCCCCCTCTTTTCAGCACACGTCTGTTCAGACATTTTTCGCGCTTCCCGAGGTCGGAGGATCGCAACGCATCGCCGATGCATCGGCGATGGTGCGCAACGTAGCGCGCGATGTTATTCATACCGACGTCGCCGATGCGTCGCCGACGGCGCCGATGCATCGCTGATTGCAGGGCTCGATACCGACGTCGCCGATGCGTCGCCGACGACGCCGATGCATCGCCGATTGGAGGGCTCGTGCGGAAACTCACGCGAGCAGCTGGTTTCGGTCCTATCGCCGGGCACCATCCTATCGATACGATTGTCGCCTCAGGCGCCAAGCGGCGCCGGGAAAACTGGTTACGTGAGCTGATTCGCACTCCCTGGTTTCGCCCCCACCCTTCCACGTTCGCCAAATCCTGGGGATTCGCCAGCGCCGGGAAAACCAGAGACGCGAGCTGAGTCGCACCCCTAGATTGCTCCTACCCTTCACTTCACCACCCTCCGCCTCCCCACCCCTTCTTCCAACCAGGGGGGGTGCGTGAGCGGCCGCGCGCAGCGAGGGCGAGCCTTCTCGGGAGGCAGGGGTCGAACCGGGACAGGACGAGGCGAAATCCATCCCAGAGCGTTCCGGAACGCTCTCGGAGCATTCTGGAACGCTCTGATAAGCCTAAGTCGGGCCTCTCCCTCTATAAGAGGAATGTTCAAAATTATCTTGTCGAAGGACCCGACCATATGCAGTTGTGAATACCGCGTCGTGGCACCCTATGGGACCACGAAACGTGTGAAAGGGGTGCCAAAATGAGCGGGGAACCGCATGCGAACCCTGCCACCGGGGCCGTCGGTGGAGCTCCCTATGGGGCCTCGAAGATTGTGAGGAGTGTGCCGACATGGGCGGGCGGAGAACCGCATACGAACCCTGCCACTGAGGCCTTCTGTGGAGCTCCCCATGGGGCCACGAAACATGTGAGTGGTGTACCGAAATGGGCGGGGAACCGCATGCGAACCCTGCCACTGGTGCCATCGGTGGCCTATGGGGCCAGGAAGCGTACCCTGCCACTGAGGCCTTCGATGGACCTCTCATGGGGCCATGAAACGCATGAGGGGTGCGCCGAAAACGGCGGGGAATCGCATGCGAACCCTGCCACTGGGGTCTTCGGTGGAGCTCCCCATGGGGCCACGAAACATGTGAGGGATGTGCCGAAATGCGATGATGCGATGCGATGCGACCTGCGCTCCAGCCCCCTTACGGAGCGGTCCTCTCAGAGGGCAGGCGTATGGGACGCGTAGTCCCAGCAACCGCACTCGAAAATGCTTCGCGTCAATGTGGAAAACAACACAGAGGCAAAGAGCTGTCTTCAGACAGGCATGACATAACAAAACCACAATGGAAGGAACAAGGAGGAGGGGAAGAGATGGCGTGTGATGGGCAGGCTCACGCGGCTTGGCTGGGCTCACCTCTTTACGAATCCTTCTTCGAGCGAGGGGTGTGCCGAAATGGGCGGAGAACCGCATGCAAACCCTGCCACTGGGGCCTTCGGTGGAGCTCCAGCGGGGAACGGCATGCGAACCCTGCCACTAAGGCTTTCGGTGGAGCTCCCTATAGGACAAGGAAGCGTGTGAGAGGTGTACCGAAATGGGCGGGGAATCGCATGCGAACCCTGCCACTGAGGCCGTCGGTGAAAACGTGTGAGGGGTGTGCCGAAATGTGCGGGCAACCGCATGCGAACCCTGCCTCTGGGGTCTTCGGTGGAGCTCCCCATGGGGCCACGAAACGTGTGAGGGATGTGCCGAAATGGGCGGGGAACCGCATTCCCCCGTGAGGCTGTCGTCCTGGCGCTTGAGGTCGTCCACGAAACGCGTGAGGGGTGTGTCAAAATGGGGCGAGACCGCCATGCGAGCTGCGCCACTGGGACCGTAAGTGGAGCTCCCTATGGGGCCACGAAGCGTGTGAGGGGTGTGCCAAAATGGGGCGAGGCCACCATGCGAGTTCCGCCACTGGGACGTTAGGTGGAGCTCCCTATGGGACCGAAACGAGAGAGGGGTGTGCCAACATGGGGCGAGGCCGCCATGCGAGTTCCGCCACTGGGACCTTAGGTGGAGCTCCCTATGGGGCCACGAAACGCGTGAGCGGGGTGCCAAAATGGGCCGAGGCCGTCATGCGAATTCCGCCACTGGGACCTTAGGTGGAGTTCCCCATGGGGCCACGAAACGTGTGAGGGGTGTGCCAAAATGGGGCGAGGCCACCATGCGAATTCCGCCATTGGGACCTTAGGTGGCTCTCCTTACGGGACCACGAAAAGTGTCATGGGGTGTGCCGACATGGGTGGTGAGGACGATGTTGTTGATGATGATGATGATGATGATGATGGTGATGGTGATGGTGATGGTGATGGTGATGGTGATGGTGATGATGATGATGATGATGATGATGATGATGAGGATGATGATGATGATGGCGATGAGGATGATGTAGATGAGGATGATGTTGCGGATGATGATACTGATGGATGATGGGTGATGGTGATGATGGTGACGATGATGCTGATGATGGGGAGAGGGAAGGGGGCAGCGGGAAGAGAAGGAAAGAAGGAGGACGCGGGCGCTGTCTCTTCAAAGCGATGGCCCAACACCACAGGATGGTTGGGAAAAATGCAGCACGGAGTTTTTTCGTCGTTTTCGGCTTCTGGAGGTTCTCGCAGGGCCCTGGTGCCTTCAAATTATCTTAGCGAAGGACCCGACCATCTGCAGTTGTGAATACCGCAATTATGAATACCATCTTCGCCCGCGCTCCCTCTGTGGCCACGGCTTCCCGCCGGAACCCGACATGCTCAGGAACGCATTCGTGGCCTTTTTCGTGGGCGCCGACGGCGACAAGGACGGCGTCCATCTGACCAAGGAGCAGAAGCAAGAGAGGGCTTCGAGAGCCATGAGGGAAGGCGACCCTCGTGATGGGTGTGCCGAAATGGCCCGGGGCCGCCGTGCGAACCCTGCCATTGGGGCCTTCGGTGGAGTTCCTTATGGGGCCTCGAAGCGTTGTGCTGGGCGGGTGAAGCGCAGGGAGGGGGGGGGAGGAGGGGGAGGAGGAGGAGGAGGAGGAGGAGGAGGAGGAGGAGGAGGAGGAGGAGGAGTAGGCGGGAGGGCGGGACGCGGAGCGCTGTCCCTTCAAAACGAGGACCCAACGACGCAGGATGGTTAGGAAAAACGACTCAGGAGGCGAGCCGGTCCCGCGGAAAGGGTCGGGACGTCCGTGGACGCCGTCGACCCATGCAGCGGGGCCGTCGGGCCTCAAGAGACAGGGGTCGATGCAAACGGGGGTCAGCCAGAGCGCCGGATCTTGCAGGTCCCTGCAGGGGCAGGATCGCATTGACCCAGGTTTGAGTGCAGTTTGCATGATCTTTCGCATTGACCCGGGCTTGGATGCAAGATTTTTCAGGATTCTGCAAGGCGTGGCCGGCCCGGTCTGGGATTGACCCGGGTCAGCAGATCTCCGAGCAGGCGTGCTTCTCGAGTACGTGATTGTCTACAGGATTGATTTACCCCAGAAGTCATGTTCCGCCGCGCCCGCCGAGTATACGAAACGCACGCACGGAATGTTCAGCAGATCCGCGGGGCATTCTACACGCATTCTGTAGATATTCTATAGGTTTTCGCCACATCGGCCGACCCCTTGTTATGTTTTGTTTGCCGAGATACCGCTTCCCAAGT